GGCATTTTAATTATTATGTGTCTTGGTGTGGGCCTCTTTGGGTTCCTGGTTTTTGGGACTCTCTGAGCTTCCTGGGGTTGTATGTCTATTTTCTTCACAGGGAAGTTTTCCACCATTATTTCTTCAAATAGCTCTTCAGCCTCTTGTTCTTTTTCCGGTATCCTTATGACATGGATATTTTTACCTTTAAAGTGTCCCATAGGCTCCTTAAATTATTATTATAGTCCTGATTTCTTTTTTCTTGCCGTTCTGATTGCACGTCCTTGGCTTTCCCATCCTCTATATAGGTCATTTGATCCTCTTCTTTATTCACTCTGTTTATTTCATTTAATATACTTCTCATCTCAGATAATGTGTTCTTCATTTCTGACTGGTTCCCTTTTATAATTTACATTTACATTTTTATATTTTTTTTATCTCTTTGTTAAAGTTCTCACTGAATTTATCTACACTTCTCATAAGTTCATTGAGCATCTTTATGACCAGTATTTTGAACTCTGAATCTGTTAGATTGCTTGACTCTATTATTTCTGAATCTCTGTTCTGTTCTCTCATATGGTTTCTGCTTCTTTGTTCCCATTTTGGCTGCCTTTCTGTGTCTGTTTCTATGTACTAAGCAAAGCTCCTAAGTCTCTCGGTCTTATTAGTGTGGGTTTGTGAAGCAGGTGTCCAGTGGCACAATCCTGAGAGGGATTCAGCTGCAGGTCAAAGTTAGTCCAAGCCTCTGCCCCACTGGGGCCACCTGTTAAGATTCAGCAAGCAGTCCAGAGATACTGTGCTCATTAGGTGCCTCAAAAGGCCACACAGAAACCCAGACCAGCTGCCTCCAGTGTGAGTCTAGGTGTGGCTCAGCAAGGAGCACCTGACTCACTAAGGAAACACCTGGATGTGGCTTGGGTGGGGCCCAGGTTGGGGGAGGCGGGGTTTCAGGGAATCCTCTGGGCGGAGCGACCTCCGTTATCCAGTTTGATAACATCACAGCTAAGGCAGCGCTGTGTCCAGGCACTGGGAGCGGGGAGGGCTCAACAGGGGACAATGGATGCCACCGGCACGTCTGTACAGAGCAGGTCTCACCTCGGCCCTCATTCCGACAATGTCTCCTTGTAAGTCCCTGGTGCTCCCCGCACGCAGG